CCCCCCCTCTCAACCCAGCTGGGCAAACACACACGCACACACACATACGCCCTGGGCTTGAGTGTTCCCTCTCTCCTCCCTGCCGTCCCTCCTTCTCCCCCGTCTCTTGCCCTCCTCCCTCCGCCCCGCCCTAGCTCCCCCCCCCCTCCCCCCCCGCAGCACCATGGGGTCCCAGCTTGCGGACCTCCTGCAGGCGCACGGGCTGACGGTTGCCTCGCGCCAGGCTCGACGTTGCAACCTGACCCTGGAGCGTCTGCTGCTGATGGACTCGGCCGAGCTCGGGTCCGAGCTGGACCTGGCGGCCGTCTCGCTGAAGCGCCTGCTCCAAGCGATCGCCTGCTACCGGGCCCTCCTGCCGCTGGGGGACAACCGCGCAGACTACCACCTCTTCGAGCATGCCCTGATCCAGGTGCACCTCCTCCGGTCGGACTCGACGGCTGTCAGCCGGTCGCGCTCAAGCAGCGCATCCCTTTCACCGCGGGAAACCGCCGGTCTCGGGCTGCCTGGCGACCAGCCGCCCGTCGGGGAGCATCCTCCAGCCAACGCGGCGACCGCCCCCTCCGACACCGGACCCAGCCCGGCAGGCGGGTCTGTCGGCCCCCCGGTCACCAGCCCCGGCGCCTCGCCCCGACCGCGCCCTGCCTCGGTGGCCATCCCGCCAGCGCCCGCCTCTCCCGGCGGGACCACCGGCGCATCGCTGCCCATCGCCTACGGCCTGCCGCTGGACTTGTCGCATCCGGTGGTGATGGCGGCCGCGGCGGCGGCCACCGCGGCGGCCACCTCCTCCGGGCGGCCAGCCCCCCGGCCTCGCGCCTCTTCCTCCTCCTCCTCCTCCACCATCACCACTACCACCACCGACCCCTCGCCCGGGGGACCCCCCTCGGCCCACTCGCCCACCACCGCCTCCGCACCGACCACGCTCACGGTCACCATCGCTCCCCCATCGCCGGTGGTCACCGTGACGCCGGCCTCGCCGCCTGGCATCCCCCTGGCCGGCGAGGCGCCAGCCAGCCCGGAGCCCGGGGCCGGCCTTCCGCCCCCGTTGACCGGGCTGGTTCCTCCTCTGAGTGCTGTCGGGACCCGGCCCCGGCCTCGACCTGTGCTGGTGGCCAGTCGCCCGGCTCTGGCGGTCTTGCCCGGCACCAGCCCGGTGTCGCCCCTTACTTCGGGCCCGACCACCCCGCTGGTCGCCGATGCCCCACTGCCCCGGGCCAATGTCGCGCGTGCTGACAGCGTCGGCAGCATCACCGCCGGCAATGCCGGGGGCGGTGCCACCACCGCTGCCAGCAGCAGCGGCAGCAGCAGCGGCAGCAGCAGCACCAGCAGCACCAGCAGCACCAGCAGCAGCGGCCCGGTGACGCCGGCCTCCCGGACCCCGACCCCTACGCGTGCCCGCGCCCGGCCATTGTCCCTCTTCGCCATGTCTTCCGGGGACTATTCCGCCGGCGGCGGGGCCGCTGTGCCCCAATCCCCGCTGGCGGTCGCCTCGCCCGGGTTCCCCTCATCGGCATCGGCGTCCTCATCGTCGGCTTCCTCGACCGCGGCGTCGCCCCTGAATGTCACCCACTCCGGGGGTGGTGCTTCGGGCGCTGGCGGGGCATCCGGCGGGGCCTCGTCCTCTGGATCGACGGCGGCCGCCGCCGCTGCCCTCGCCTCTTCCTTCAGCCGGTTCAGCATTCGCTCCGACTCGCCGAAGAGCGCGCCGAATCTCTTCCTGCCCGGCGGCGCCGGGGCTGGTGTCGGGCCAGCCCGGGCCCCGCCCTCGCCGTTGGTGGACAGCGTGGCGGAGCAACTGGCCCCGGCCCCCGGGTCACCGGGGCTCGGGCCCATGGGGCTGGCCCCTCCGCCCGGGCCGGTCCTCCCGGCGGCTGCCCTGGCTCAGATTACCCCGGGATCCCTGCCGGCCGGGGCCGTGCGGGGCCACCTGTACAAGCTCAGCGGCCCGTCCTTCCTGCGAGCCTTCCGCCAGCGGTACTTCGTCCTCGATGGCTCGACCTTGTACTACTTCACGGCCGACTCGTCGCTTCGCTGCCGCGGGGTCATCCCCCTGGGCGGGTACCGGATCATGAACGCCGAAAATGTCACCGGCCAGAAGTACAGCTTCATGATCTTCCACTCGCACTCGCGGGTGTACTACCTGTCCGCACGCGACCTGCCCACCATGACCCGGTGGATGCGCGAGCTGCATATGGCCACGCTGGGCCCGAGCCCGAGTCCGGGGCCGGCCGCCGGCCCGGAACACCAGCCGCCAGTGCACGAGTCGCCCGAGCCGCCCCACCACCATCATCACTCGGTCGGCGGGGCCGGCACGGTGCCGCCATTGCTGGTCCTCAGCTCGTCGGACATTTCCCTCTCGCCGGCCCTGTCGGCTGGTGGGGGGGATTTGTCCGCCGGATCGCCGGGGCTGCTGCTCCCGCCGTCGCCCTCCTCCTCCTCCACCACCACCACCACCACCTCCTCCTCCTCGGCCGGTCCTGCCACGCCGAGCGCCCAGCGTCGGTCTCACCGGTCGGTGTCCTTCTCGTCGATGATCGGCGTGCCGACCTCGCGCTCGGCTGCGGCCACCGGGGTTTCGCCGGTGGCCGGGCTCGCCGTCCGGCCAGTGCACTTTGTGCCGCCACCTGCCGGGCCGGTGTCGCCGGTGGCCGGGCTGGTGCACCGGCCGCTGGATGACGCTGGGCGCCGGCCGAACCAGCAGCTTTCTCGATCGTACTTCCTGTGCATCGCCCCACCGGCCGAGGTGCTGGCCCTGCAGCCGGACATGCCGCCGGCCCTGTCGCCTCTGCTTCCGTCAGCCCCGCCAGCGGTCGATCCCGGGGCACTTCTCCTTTCCCAAGGCATGTTTTTCTCTCTTCTTTTCTCCCCGAGGTCGTTGTGTCACTGTGTTGCCGGGTCGCTGTTCCCCTGCTCGATCAAGAGGATCCGAGAGTGGCACTTCGGCCGCAGGCACACCCATATGCCCTCCGTCTTCCTCCCCCCCCCCC